AAAAATGGTTATAAGTAAAGTTCATTTTTACCTCTATAATTTAAAAACAAACAGGTAAACAAAACACTGCATAGATGAACTGTTAAAAATGGAAAATACATTCAATAAGATGGCAAACCCAATGTGGTTGCACGCATCTGTAATCTCAGCACTCAGGAGGCTGAGGAAGGAGGACTGCCAAAAGTTCGAGGTCAGCCTGGGCTACATAATGAGTTCAAGGGAAACCTGAAATATACAGAGAGACTCTGTCTTAAAAATAAATAAATAAAAATAAATGAATAAATAGACGACAGTTAAAACAAGTTAATGGCAAAAGGGAAGGCCAAATATTCTAATTTTCTAAGGAATGTATGTTTTATAGAGTATCTCTAAATTTGTGAACATTGACATAGAAAAATAATTTAACACAATGAGGCAATAATATGTAAATCAAAGAAAACATAAGCCACAAATTTGTATTTGAATTATATGAACAATATTTAATGCTCTCAATCTAGGAGTCGATTCTGTGAAAACAAAATTGATCACGTTTTAATACCCTTTACTGTCTTCTATTCACTAAAGAAAAAAATCTTTATGACTTATATTGACAGCAAGGAAGCTTGTACCACTCACCAACACTGATTGCTAAATTTTCGTATCTATGCTTTTAATCTTGGTTGTCAACTTGATTAGATTAAAAGACTTCTAGGGAAGTGAATGGACTGTGAAGACAGGATTATAGTTGAAAGGATTACTAAGAGGTAGGACCTACTTAGAGAAAGGGTACGACTGGGGTGTGACCTCTGGAACTACATCTTGTCATTGGCTCTGCTCTCAGACTTGCCCCATACTCACAGCTTCTGACGTGCCACAAATCAGCTTTCTTCTTCCACATTGTCTGATGTGATGTTCCTGCTTTGAAGCTAGCTGGCCACGGACTGAAACCTGTGAAACTGAGCCAAACTACACTTCTCCTCCTATAAATGTGAGGTGTGAGGTATTTTGTCCCAGTAACAGGAATATTTACATCAGAATATTGGGAATTGGTGTTATTAAAATAGGTCAAATTACTCCAAAGTTCTACCCGAAAATAGTCAGTGGCATAGGCAGCAGACTGATAGGTGTAACTGGCTTAATAAAGGAACTGATTGATTTGCTTTTGATAAACTCCAAATGGCTGAACTTTTGTAGGCATGGTGGTGCACAGATGTATCTGCCATGCCTTTTTTTAAAGTATTTAGTACAGGGTCTACAGGATCTCACTACACAGAATGGACTCATAGTGATCCTTCCAGCTTTTCAGCTTTCCAAGTGCTGGGATTACAGGAGCATGAACCAATGCCCAGTCTCAATCTAGGTCTTAGCATGCCACAGGGGCAGGGCCAGCCAGGCAGGCCGGGGATCAGCTGCCTGAGTCTACTTAAGCAGGTGCTTTAATCTGCTGAGCTATCTGGCCAGCCTTGTCACGCCTTCTTAAAGTGGCTAATGTGTATGCTAATAAGCTTAAGAAGAAATGTACTGATGTTTGTAACTCATTTTTATGGGCATCAAAACCATGAAACGATGGGTGAAGGGACAGTTACATAACAAACAACTACTTACATGTTCATTACAAAGTATTGATGCAAGTGCTGTCAATTTTTTTAAAATTTTGTTGGAAACTTCAGTATTACAAAATATCAAAATAAAACAATCCAATTGTGAAGCAGAGGCTGAAAATATAAGCAAGAAAGGAGAAAGGACAGTAAAAGGTTTTTTGAGATAAGATAAAACTTAATGGAACCCAAGATAGAGGTAGAAGGGTTAGGCTAAAAATGGAAGATGAACAGGTTTTTCTATTGTATCAGAAGACAAGATGCATACAAATGTAGGTACAGGAACATCAGGTGCGTACAAATGAAGACACAGAAATATGGAATGCATACAGATTTGTTTTAGTGAGCTGGCTGCTAAAAAGAGGTAAGGTTATCTCTTCCCAATTAAGTTTTGAAACAGACATTGTGGAGACTTGATTAGAGAAACATAAGTTTGGGCAGTGATGAGGGCCTATTTCTTGGTAATTGTGAATCTATTAGGGTGACACCTATGCTCAGCTGCTTGGATCCAGTTTCTCAAATGTAAAATAGAATAATGTCAAGCAAAAAGCCTGTTAGAATTAAAAAGAACCTCACAATGAATCTGGAAGAGTGCCTCACATAAAAATATCCTAGTAAGACTATGTAAAGTCCTTTATAAGCCTACAGCTAGTGGTTATTTTGCACAGCTGCTCATCAAGAAGCTACAGTTCTTAAAGTTCTTGAACCTAAGTTTCTTATGCTTCTGTATTAAAGAGAAGGCAACATCAGAGGGCAATCACGATATCTGCAACAGAAATGAGGAATTAGATTTACAGAGAGCACTAATCCAAAAGATGAAAATAACATCATGTGATAATGCTTCCTATTTCCATAAGAATGGTTAATAGGAAAGAAACAAGGAGCACACAGCTAATGAAATTTAGTTCATATATGTTGAGGGGAGAAAGAAGAAGGAAACAATTATATTTTACTTGGGAAAGAAAACAGTTTCTAAAATTTGGGTATGTTTTATTTTCTGAAGGATGTGTGTCACAATTTAGGGTGTTGTAATTTAGAAGTAACATTTACAGTATCATTACTCAATTCAAGTGAACCCAGACAAACAATTTTTCCTTCTGATGTGTATCGGACAACTTCAAATCCTAGGAACACAGTTGTTATTTACATCGTACTATAACAGTAAATCAGAGCTTTTTTAATGTTATCCAGGGAGGGAGATTGTGACTTACAGGACTTTGCTGCATACAGAAGTAACTAGTCTCAGAAGAGGTGACAGAAAAAATTTGAAGTAAATGGCTAAATTTTTCCCAATTTGATCAAATCCATAGACTCATAAATCTAGATGTGCAATAAACTCCAGGTAGTTTAATAGCAGGAAAAACATGAAGAAATATTGTACTAAGATATACAACAATCGAACTGCTTAAAACTAAACAGAGAAACTGAAAATCTTAAAAAATAGTTATAGGAAGTAAAATTTTAAAAAACATGGTAGAAAATGAGTAGAATGATAGGCCTCTTTTCAGAAATAATGCAATTCAGAAGACAAAATAAGATATATATATATATATATATATATATATATATCCAAACAGCAGAACAAAAATGCTTCTCAAAGCTCTAAATCTATTAAAAATCCTTTTTAAACAGAATATGAAATAAAAATTGGACAAAAAAATCCCAAAAATTCTTAAAATTCATCACTATATCTGCCTTATGAGAATTGCCAAAGATATTTTTTAGGCTAAAGTAAAATAATAACCAACTGAGATGTGAATCTAAAAAATGCAATGTTAAATAACCGGTGAAAATATATTTCTACTAATAAAAACAGGGAGATAACAGGTGATTTTCCTGTGCAATGTCTAAATACAAATAAAATAATAAAAAAGCTACTTTAGGGCACTGTTATTGTTTGTGTCTAGATGCCCCCTTACCCCCGCAAAGCCTCATGGAGTCATGGGGTTTCTAGAGTTTTGACTGATGCATGGTCCAATACTGGGATTATGGGTGTGTGTGCCACACCTGAGGTGCATACCGCAGGAGAAAAAGAGGCCTGCTCTCAAGCTCCTCCCTTCCACTTTTGCTGATTTGCTGTTTTCTGCCACCATGAACTGCTGCTGTCTGTCATGTGCCACTCTACCTTGGAGCCAGCCAAGAATGACTGAAACCACCAAATGAGCTAAATAAACCTTTCCATACTTAGTTATGGACATCAGGTATTTTATCTCAGCAACAAGAGAAAAGTAACCAAGATCATCACTAACAATTGATCAAGGTCAGACAACTTGCTGAAAAATGTTTACTCTTTAAAGTGCTTCAGCTTTGGGTAAAAACTGTAGGAGGATGGTCGACTATTCCTTGTGATGCAATCATACACTTGTCACTTGTGTTAATCCACTGCTTTTCACTACTATAACAAAATATCTGAGGCTTGGTAACTTTAGTCAATGGACTCATGGTTTTAAAAGTACAAGAGCAAGGAGTCTTATCTCTTGACCTTGCTGTTAGAGTCCTGAGGCAGCACATGATATCACATGACAAGAGAAAGAGACCTAAAGTATTAATCTTCTGGAATCTCTCCTTGTAGTTAACAGTAATTCATACACGGGGCACCACTCTGATGATCTTATCTACTTAGCCATAAAACCCCACTTCTAAACATGATCTAGTATTGTCCTTCCTCCTAAAATACTTCACAACAGGGATAAAACTTCAAAATATGAACCCTTGGAGTACACACTAAAACCAAATATAAACCATAGCCCTTGGTCAATAAAAATTATAGCTTTACACATTCAAGGTTGCTTGTGATTACAGTAATAGATCTCACTCTGTACAAGGAACAAGGCAAACTTGTAACTTTTTTAGATGACACCAAGACTTCATTCAAAAAGGAAAACCTATATATACCTGCACCAGCCTAAAGTTACAGGTGTGGCTTAAGGCATCAGAAATTAAACTGGTAAATCCTTGACATTTAAAAACAGTATGACAGCAAAGATATGCTTATACATACATTTATCTGATCAACTGCTAAACTACAAAATGAAAATGATGAGACACCAAGAGAAGAATGATCAAACACGAGCATTCTTCAGGAGTCCAAGCATTTCTTAGTGACTGATACACAAGTGCATCATTGAAATATACTCATGCTGTCTTAGAATTCTTAAATTCTCTGCAAAAAATTAATTCTGGAGGGACAGAAAGTAATCTTTAAGTGTAAATTTCCTTCAACAGGTGAGAGATTAGACAGAACAGAAAGATCATACAATGTATACTTGAAAAACAAATGTTTAAAGTAAATCTGTCATTTTCCTGGACTCTATAGTTTGTAATTGTGCCCTTTCAATATATTTAAATACTATACAAACAATTATCTAACACAAAGAGTAATAATTTGTAGTTCACAGAAGAAACATTAAAAAACACAAGTAAGACACAACTAAGTAGTTCGTTTATTTTACCCATGGCTCTCCTGATATAAATTGTATGGAGACTGATTCTGAAAAACATTTAGAAGAATCACTGATTGAAATCAGAATATCATGCCTTCCAATCCATCCTCCATGAATTTCTTATAAAGTGCCATAAATTTGGCCACAAATGCTTCCAAGTGATAAATGGCCTTGGTCCCCAGCTGTAGACGATGTTCGTAATAAGCTGCCATCTGGGTTACTTCCCCTTTCAGTTGTCCATCACAATTATGTAGAAGTTCTGAGAGCAGGCCCTATGGAAAAATAATCAGTAACTTAAAAAGTAACCATTTAAAACATTAGCCACAAATGCGTAATTACTGTCATTCCCCCCAAAAAAACTTAAAAATTATTTTTATATGTGAGAACTTCATTTATGTTAACTAGTACCCTTCATCCAAAATAAAAACTGTTACTTCTAAAATATAAAAATGTAGTGGTGACCCACCATATTCCAAATCACAAATACAGATGGTCCATGAATTATGATACTCCAACTTAACAATTTTTGGCCTTTACGATGGCATGAAGCCAAGATACATTCAAAAGAATTCATACTTATACTAGGGAGATAATAACATGTTTACACATGTGGGCCTGATTTTCCATGCTTATATCTGGTAATCTGAATAACTAATTGGAGACAACAACAGGATATACTACAACCACTGCTGAATTCCTATAACCAAGTTTAGTGAAATTTTGTATCGTTTCTTATGTTTTATTTTTAATTTTCTTTAAAAAATAAAAAAATGAACACATATATAAAAATTCATACTTTGAATTCTACCCTTTTTCTAAGACTAGTGATATACGGTACTCTGTTCAGAGACTGGGGATTCCAGACCAGCAGTGGTGATCTTCTGGTGCACATGCTACAGTTGGCTGTTTGTTATAACTAAAGGCTCTAAGGATTCATCATCACTACTCTAGACAGTGCACTGTGTTGTTAACCTGTGACACTCCAGTAAATTAGGAACATAAAATGATGTTCTTCCAATATGAAGTCTTCATTATCAAGGCTGGTCTCCAACTCTAGCAGGCAAGTAGAGCCTCTCTCAATCTCCCAAGTAGCTGAAATTTTGACCTAAAATATCTTCAACCTTTAATGGGATTATTAGGACATAACTTCATTATAAATTAAGGGGCATCTGTATTTAATTGCAGAAGGGTACAAGGAGCAATACTAATATTTACTGCAACAACATTTACAATGATGATCTGTAGACAATCTAAAGTTTCAATAGAGGCCATATTCAAAAACACATGATAGTCACGAAAGACTATCAAAAACTTATGACCATCTTTTTTAGTATGACAGAACACTAAAAGAACAAGGTCAATCTGTATAGTCACAACACAATACCCATGAGATATTGCTGAGCGAAAACAGTGTAAGAGCACAGAAATTTTCTGAAACTATACACACACTTATGCATCTGATTCTCTGTGAAAAGATCAGGTCTGTTTACTTTTATACATACAAAAATGGACCTCCATTGTTTTTGTTTGCATAATGTATAATTTTCATGTAAGTATGATTATATAATTTTAATAAAAGCAAAAAACCCCAAATTCCCTAATATCTGGCAATCAATGAATTTAGCAGCTAGATGGCTGAGACCAACATAGTTTGAACTTGCCTACTTTTTTCTATATTCCCCACGTACACTGAATTTTATTGTCTGAAATGTTTACTCTTCAGCTATTCATTTGGTTCTCTTTCTCGTCCTCACTATGAACTTAAGCTTACCTTTATCGAAATCATCTACAGCCACATCTTAGCACACCCTCCATTATCATTTTCCTTCATTTCCTTCTAACATTCAAAACACCCATCTCCCTCCACTAAAACACAACTTCCCTAAAGGTCTGTCTTCCCCTATTCTTTTCACAGTCCTCTAATGTTGCCTGCCACACAAAAGAGACTGAGTGATTACCTGTGGAATTACTGAAGTGACAATGTATCCTGTAAAAGCCCTAAGATCACACTCAAAAATCCAAATTTCATAGTTATAAACAATTCAAATTCAGAAACTTAGTTACCTTCATTATTATCTCAGGAGGAATACAATGAGTTAGTAGCTCATACAGCCTTCCACGAACTTCAAGGAGTCTATATAAAACAAAATGATTACTATTTTGTGATGCAAATAAGGAAAACCTTTAACAAGTTAATATGGACACACTTTCTTCTGTAGTTTATCATACTCAGGATGTATATGTAGATACTTCTAACTTCAGTTCATTACTTAAAAAAGAAATTTTAGCATTCTTATAAAGTAGACAGCCAGACATGTGGCACATGTCTGAAATCCCAGCACAAGGGAAGCTGAGGCAAGAGGACTGAGGCCAGCCTGAACTGCACAGTGAAATCCTATCTCGAAAACAGACAGAAATAAAGAAGACATTTATAGGCAAGGTTATTCATTATATCAGCCATCAAAAAGTCTGACAGAAATTAAGACTTCAAGAAAAAAGTGGGTCACGCTAATGCATGCCATGGAATTTAACCCTCCTTCATGACATATCAAGTAATGTGTATTTTTTTTTCTTCAGATAAAAACCAATGGGCTGGAGAAGATAGCTCAGCAGCATTAGCGCCTGACTGGCAACTACAGGGTCCTGAGTTTGATGTCTGGTAAACAACAACAATAACAACAACAACACCAAAAGCAACACCTAAAATATTTAGAAAATGGTCATGAAAAAAACCAAGCCGTCACTAGCTAATGACACAGCTGACAAGAGATAATGTAAATATAAAACAATGCTACTGTTTAGACTGCACAAAAAAATAATACAAGAGAGACACAAAAGTGAATTTAAACATTTAACCCCTAAGCCCTTAACCCGTTAACCTCAGGCCCGTCTCACATTTTTGGAGGAAAAATAAAATCTGGTATTAATAAGGCACAGTCAATGACAAGATATAAAATTATTTTAATGCTACATTAAAAGGCAACTGAGATTTAGTTATACAATTATGATGCAACTGCATGTATGCACATTATACATGGCAACATGTCTCATGTTAGTCTGAGTTCATTTCTAATGTCACTTAGTTTCTAAAAACTAATGCATATGAAACTTCCTATATTGGTCCTATACTTTTTGATGGGTTGCAAGTGATTTAAGACTATATACTCTTCTAGTTCAATCCCTGGTTCCGCATAAAAAAAAAAAAAAAAAAAAAAAAAAAAAAAAAAAAAAAAAAAAAGACTATAGTCTTTTGAGGGCCAGCCAAATAGCTCAGCGGATTAAAGCACCTTAAGCAGGCAAAGGGGCCAGGGGTTCGATCCCCGAGCCTGCTGTGCCAGCCCTGGCCCCGGGGTGCACTGAGATGGCAATTGAGACTGGGCATGGTGGCACGCACCTGTAATCCCAGCTTGTGGGAGGCTGTAAACAGGAGGATCACTGCAAATTCGATTTAGTAGTAAGACCCTGAATACCCTGTATAGCTTTCCCTAAAATGTCAAAAAAAAAAAAGACTATATACTCCTCTGTCCAAGAAACTTGGTAATTCCAGAACTGCCTTAGCCTCTTAATAACTAACTGTCCCTGAACAAGTTAATCTTTCTGTTTTCTAGAGATAGCAATATTTTTCTCACAAGATGTTCACAAGTTAAATGAGGTAACAGTGTAGCCATCCACTAAATATTAGCTAGTATTCAAATCAGAAAATTATAAACATTTTAGATCAAATAAAAATTAAGACAATAAATATGGCACCAAACTTAAGGGACCAAACCTTAACAATCATTTGGCCCTGAATACGCCAATGATCAAAACGGTACCAGTCTACCAGCATTGCTGGACAGCCACAGGGCTTTCTGAAATTAAGCAAAATTTCTTCTTATATAACACAATGGAGTCAAACGTCACAATTATTAGTTTAAACAGAAATAGCAGCACTTCTTATATAAGATTACTTATGAGTTGCTAACACTTAGTAGGAAAATTAGAGGAAAAGGGAGCAATTAGAAAAATTTCCAAAGTATTTTACATTTCACGGATGGCTAGTGATGTGGAGCATTTTTTCATATATTTATTCGCTTCTTTACTTTCATCCTCTGAGAAGCATGTGTTCATCGTGGATGCCCATTTCTTGATTGGGTCTTTCAATTTTGGGGCCCTAGTGTTTTTTAGTTCTTTATAAATTCTAGAGAGCAGACCTTTGTCTGAGTACTTATTTGTCACGATTTTTTTCAAATTTGTGGGTTGCCTTTTCACTCTGTTAATAATTTCTTTTGACATGAAAAAACTTCTCAGTAAGAGCAGGTCCCAGTTGTTAATTCTTTCAACTGTTTCCTGTTTGATTTGATTTCTGTTCATGAAGTCTTTGCCTACCCCTATGTCTTCGAGTTCCTCCTACTTTCTCTTCCAGAGATTTAGTGTCTCTGCTTTTAATGTTTAGATCTTTAATCCATTTTGACTTTACTTTAGTGCATGGTGATAGACCTGGGTCAAGTTTGAGTTTTCGGCATGCAGAGAGCTAGTTTTTCCAGCACCATTTGTTAAAGAGGCTATCTTTCTTCCAGTGAGTATGTTTGGCCCCTTTGTCAAAGATAAGGGTGCTGAATGTGTTCGTAGGGGCTTCAGCGTCTTCCAATCTATTCCATTGATCCCCAGGTCTATTTTGTTGTCAGTACCATGCTGATTTTATCACAGTAGCCTTATAGTATAATTTCAAGTCAGGAATTGTAATGCCTCCTGCCTTGTCTTTATTGCCCAGGATTGCCTTTGCTATTCTAGGTCTTTTCTGGTTCCAGATAAATTTTAGGAATGATTTCTCTAGGTCTGTGAGGTATGTTGGTGATAGTCTGATAGGGATTGCATTAAATCTGTACAGCAATTTTGGGAGTATGGAAATTTTCTGACCAAGGAGATTATGGGGCCAAAGAGGAAAGTGATCAATGTGGTAGAGTGTGCCTAAGGAGAGTCACATGGAGAGAAAACATTCTCTCAGGCTTTCACAGAGAGCACACTGGCCAGGCAATGGCCGTAACTCATCCACATGGCTGACTCTGACAAAGGTTCTACAATCTGAGGTACAGGATCTCAGGATAAATCCTGAGGGGATTTCACTGACTTTATCAGACCCAAAAGCTACAACTCTTGTTGCATAGGTCCTGCTTTACCTTGGTCTTAACTATCCAGCAGAAAAGTATAAAAACAAAATATAAGAAGTAAAGCCATGGTGTTATGTTGAGCTGTAGGGGACTCAGGTCAACAATTTCTGACACTGCCAGTCAAGCGGAAGACCCAATACTATTATGGGCTACTGGACTCTTTTAGAATATTTTACTGAGTTTACACACCTATAATATTCAAATAACAGAACTTAACAAACAAAGGGGATACAGATGAATGTCCATTTTGTATCTGTGTATTCAAAGTGGTTAGGATAGATATATAGTTACATTCTCTTAATGAATAGAGGGATTTGTTCTAATGGTGTTTGTAAATAGGATATCATGTCTGCATCTTGTACAGCAATTAACCACTAGGAAGAATGTATGTAGTGTGTTAATTATTGAAACTGTCCTACAATTTGATTAAAAAAAAATAAAATAAAAAAATAAAAATTCATGTTTCCCTAAAAAAAAAAGAAAGAAAAATTTCCAACATAATAGTCAAGTAAAACTTTAAAAATATATCCTGACAGTTTCAAATATTTACATATCTATACCAAAATCCCTTAAAAGTAGGAAAGCCTACTACCACTATTGCTTCTTTAAAATTAAAATTAAAAACAAGAAAGTGTGAAAATATTTTATGAAAGTACTAAATGTTCCTAAGATGTGCTTTATTTGAATTTTATCTCTTAAATATTGAAATTTCCTCACTATTAACAACATTTAACAAAACTAGAATACACACTTTATTCTTAAAACATTATTTCTTTCCTTATATGGCTACTTATAAAGATTGGCACTTTCGAAAACTGTTTTTCAACTAAGCAACCTGAAACGTAAGAATTTAAAGTATACCCTAAGGAAATACTAAGTGCCCCCTGTGTACTGCAACAATTTATAAGGCAGTCACAGAATACATGTTACAATCCCTTTAAAGAATCTCTTATGAAAACTTTAATTTCTCAGATGTGTCAGCCATAAGGAGAAAACAAATAAAGTCCTCTACTGTTTTGTTTTCATTAAGCCAGAGAAACACAAGTTCTAGTGGCTGTGCTGAGTCTACTATGCACCCTTGAGGCTCACCAAGGTCCAAAGATGGTCTCTCAGTTCTGCCTGGCAATAAGGATATAAGGCTGCATGCAAAGACCCCCTGAGAAACCATCTCCACACTTTCCAAAATTAGTATGCCTCAGACTTCATTTCTTACTTAGAGAAATACAAACCTCTTTCTCAATCTAAAACTGTCACAAATTATGGCTAGGGAGATAGCACAGTGGTCTAAGCACCTGCCTGGCAAGTGCAAGGACCCCTGCCAGTCCTAGAACCCCAGGTGTGCCATGCAGGCCACCAAAACCAGGCATGCTGGTGCATTCCTGTAATCCCAGAATTGGAGAGGCTAGAATAGGTGGATCACTACAAGTGTGAAGTATACAGTGAGACCCCTCTACCATCAGGCATAAGTAGAGTTCTCTAGTTCTCAAATCATTATAAATTCAATGATTTTGCTCTTCTAACAAACACACAAGTGTATATGACAGGGTAATAAAAATATCATCATTTTAGAAATGGAAAAATTGAAACTCCCACTCAAGAACACTTGGATTTTCTAGCACATTGTACATCAATTACACACTTGTAATTCTTTTTAAGATGAGAAAGCTGACATATGGTCATGTGTAAAGTTTTAAATTACCTAAGATTTTAAAAGAAAAATGAAATATTCCAAGATTTATTTTATCTAAAAACTCCATCTTTACATGTTAACAGCTTTACTAATGTCAAGACACCATATACCAACTGTTCTAACCACTAAATTTCTAGAATTAAATCCTACCTTTTGTTTTAAAGTTCAATATTTGGATTCAAGGTTTAATTATACTTATACATGCCATATTAACGTAAAGCAGCCATTACCCACACTACCCTAAGGAGTGAACCTCAACATCATCTCACGCTGGTTACCTCTGTGGCGTCTGCTGACTGACAATGGCATGTGCTGTCTCCCTCAGGTAGACCTCCCAGTCTGTCTCGGGGATTTCTTGGTCTGCAGTGAAAGGACACCTGCAGGACAAAGAGCGAACACAGTGAGTCCAGCACCAGCGTGCTTAGGCACCAGAGCGCTCCCCGCTGGAACTGCCCAGCCACTCACTGCTGCACTCTGCAGGCTTCACACATAAGGAGAGCTTTTCTAAGATTCCTGCAGGACTTCTCTGCAATTCTCTGAGCCAGCTGTGGAGGAAGACTCAGACCTTCCTTTTTGCAAACAGCAGATAACACATGACAAATCTATAAATTAACAAAAAATGAGCAATCTGTCAAAAAGTACGCTGAGACAATTTGCTGATGTATCTATAGAGCTTATTCCTTCAATTTTTAAAGTAAAATTTACAAAGATAGTTTGCCATTCTGCATCTAGTGCAAAGTCACACAATATTATTTTGTATAAAATATCCTAAAGTCTACTAAAAGCAGGAAAGCTGCTCACTTTGAGAATTAGTATTGTCTGACTCATTGTCATGAATGATAGTGAAAAATAATTATGTATCACTGTTGTTTCAAACTGATTCCTTACCTATGGACAAGATAGTCTCCCATCATCTATCTCCTTTCCAAATCTACTTCCTCTCTACAGTATTTGAGTTTCCTCCTACAACCAAATAATTCAGCATGAGGCACAGGATACTAAATTAGCCGAAATCTATTTTTATGGAGTCATATTTGTTTAGGAGAAAAGATGATCTAAGAAGAATACTTCCTATATCTAAATACACTAAGACATATTAAGTATACTAAAATATATTTACTAAAATATACATTGGCTTATGTATCTAAAATGATTTTTATCCAGATTTATCCATAATCTGATATGCATTACTGTTTTTACAAAAACAAATCTGTTAAGAATGTACACATATCAGAGGATTTGAAATGATTTTTCTTTTTTTTTTTTTTTCTGAAATGTCATACTTAACTTACATCTTCAGTGCTGGGAGCAGGCACACGAATTGCCAAGCACCTACTCCGAATAGGGGATATCACTTTAGATGTAGAATTGCAGCATAGGATCAATCTGCATGTGGACATATATTTTTCCATAGTTCTGCGCAAAGCATGCTGAGCATCTTTCGTGAGTTTGTCCACTTCTGTCAATAACACCACTGAATCAGAGAGAAACAAAACACACTTTATTTCACTCAACCTGTAACTTGCCTTAACTTTCTTCTCACTATTCAGAATAAAAGCCCATATTACTCTTGAAGGCAAATTAAAATTATTGATATGGAAAGAATAACTTACTTAATTCTTAAACATTTTATAATTAAACAAGACTAAGAAACATTAGCAAAACAATGTTTAAAAAGTACTTCACTGCAGAATTCACAGCAGCATTATTATTAATGCACTAGAACTGACGAAGACAAGAAGGTACTATGCTGCATCTTAAATTCTAAGGACTATAATTTGAAAAAGGCCCCTGTGAGGGATGTAGCCAACACAGAGACAGCTGGGCATATGTACATTAAGATTCCTTCTGGCCACAATCTAGGATAGGTACAAAAGTGATTCAAGAAATAGTATCTATGCAGAAACTAAATCTAACTTTTTCATTTTTCATTAACAAATTATTTCTATGGCAGCAGTAATGCTTGAATCTCTTCATAAAAGCAAGCAGAACAAAAGATTCTAAGAACTAAGACCTGTAAAAATCTATGCCAAAACTAAATGGTAAGTTCTACCTAAGCACTCCAAATACAAACCAATATTGGGAGAAGGAGCAACTACAACTGAGAAGACTCACATGGTCTCCTATGAGAGAATGCAGAAACCCACCAAATTTTTGTCAGCTGTTAGTCAGGAGAAACTCCGAACTGCCCTCACATAAACAGTAGAAATCATCACGGGCCAATGAGAAAACAGCAGTCTTAACTAGGAAGCAGATTATACACACCCCAAGTCTTAGGTCAGAACAAAGGAATCCTGATGCAGTGTGAGGTATGACAAAGTAGTAAGATTCTAAAATGAACAAAGTGTCCTACTAAATCCATTCTCCACAAGGAGAAAATCCAGAAACAAAACAAACTGGAGAGAACAGGAAAATGACAAGAATGCAAGAATGCAAAAGTAAATACAAAAGAGCTTTGTGAAAATAAAAAAAGGGACAACTCTTAGAGCCTTGAACAGAGGAAAGAACGTCACTGGCCTCTTCCATCCTATAAGTACTGAAAAATTCTTTCACTTAAAAAAAAAAAAAAAAGAAAGAAAGAAAGATCACAACTGAGAGTATAAAAAAAAAAAGGAGAAGAGCAAAATATCTCTATGGTTTGTAAGAGTTAATTTTTTTTTTTTTTTTTTGTATTTTAAGGAAGGGGCTACATGGTATTCAGGGTCTCACTACTACTAGATCAGACTCATAGTGATCTGCCTGTTCACAGCCTCTCAAGAGCTGCAATTACAGGCACCCGCCACCATGCCCAGTCTCAACTGCCACCTGAGTGTGCCCTGGGGGCAGGGCCAGCAGGGCAGGCCCAGAAATGGAAACTCTGGCCTGTGCACCTGCGTGCAGGCGCTTTTATCTGCTGAGCTATTTGGCCGGCCTGAGTTAAATATTTTCTAAAATGTTAAGTATTATTTTTTATGTAACAAATACATTTAATGTTTTTAGTGATGTGTTAACTGAGCCACAGAATATTTTAAGTATTTTTAATGACCCTAATATATTTTACTCTATGTCTGTAATTATAGTTGAAAGTTATTAATTTTGATTAAAGTTTGTTTTTAATCATATTTCATACACTAGCGTATCTTTGACATACTTCTTATAACAACAGATCATGACGCAGATATACTACTTCCTAAATACTTACAAGTACATAATACCATTATTTGTTTTCAGTAGTGAAACTTCAAACAGTGACTAAGCAGTAATTGATAGAGAAGAGCACTTTCTTTTTAAAAATACATAATAACCAAGTGAGAAATGCAAAACAGTTTTAACATTAGAAAATCCAGTAATATAACCCATGATATCAACACAAGAAAAAAAAAAAAGACAGAACTATACTCAAGGATATGAAGAAGCAGTAAATAAAATTAAGCATACAATCATATTAGAAATACTCAAGACATACTTTGTTACTATGACCAAATTTACCATGCCAAAATTCCCTAACTGGGAAAATCCTAAGGCTTCCTTCCAGAATCTTGACATGGATCTACTGTCTATTCTAACTGTCAAACAACTTATTGGCAGCTCAGGCCAACATAACTTAACAAGAGAAAATATTTTAAAGCCATATAAACTGTAAAGAAAGAGAAAAAAAACTGCATTTACCTATGATAAGTCTGAAAAATCCAAAAGAAATTATGCAAAATTATAAACAATTAGAAAATTCAATATTAGAGAAAAATATAAAATTAAGTTATAAACATCAAGTTGCCATAAAAATGTCAGAAAGTATAAGTTAATTTGTAGCAGTAAAAAATTCACTAATGAAAATTTATTTTGAAATATTGAGACTAAGGAGGAAAGATAATAAGCTAAGAATAAGCACAGTCAATTCATAAAATAAGTCATTAATAAAAGAAATTATCATACTCAAAACAGTATTTTTATCAAACTTACAAACATTAAAAATACAATACTTATCTGCAGTATTCATAAGTGTTTAGAAGAAATGAGCACTCCCACACACTACTACTTGTAATAAAAGCCTCTTTGAAACTAAACTGTTTCAATAGTTACCTCATATTAATTGTCTTCCTGTTCATTAAAATTCTTAGTAGCAAACATGAAACTTGGGTCATAAGAGCCATTATTTAAAACTATATAATTTCTTGTTATAAGAACACATCTTATAACATTACTTATCTTCCTTTAAACGTCAAATAAGCCGGGGAGATGGCTTGGGGGAATGAGTGCTTCCTTGGCAAGCACAAGGGCCTGAGTTCAATCCCCAGTTCCGGAAAAAAAAAAAAAAATCAAATAGGTACCAAACAGTACTCTTTCCCATAAAATTCTCTCTCATTAGATGTTTTCCTTTAGCACAGAGATCATGCCACCTCGTTCATTTTAATTACCCCCCCGGCCCCCACAAAAAGGCAAGGGAGCACTAGTGCTTAGCGATCTCATTCAAAGTCATCTGTTCATCACGTACCTTTAAAATCTCTTTGTGAGTTTGTTTCAAGCTGCTGTGACTGTGCCACTGTCTTCAGCATCTCCTGAATTACTACTCGGTCACTGTTTCCAGCGTCACTACATCAACCAGAGTAGTAATATATACACGTAAATGGATACAAAGCAATTAAGCCGGCTTGTTATTGTAAGAAAAATGCTGAACATTTATCCAATTGTAAATACTTTACTAATTATAAAATTATAAAACTAGTCACAAATATAAACTTTAATAAGTAAAATGTTTTAGAAACATTAAAAATATTAAAAATATTCCAGTTGGATTGTCACAGAAAACACTAAACATGTTCTTAAGTTTACTGTTACTTAAAAAGAACAAGGATTAAATAACTGTTTAGCAAATATTTTCACACTTGTGTGTCCATTATAGAAATATCCAATTACAGCTAATCTCCTAATTATCTATAATTATCAAAATATAATTCAAAACAGAAATGTAATTTCAATTCTTCATCTCTATCCCAACTGGAGCAAAGGTCTGAAAGCAAAGCCTAAAGACGTCTGTACTTGTCTAGGAGGGAACTGATTCACGGACTCCCAGAGCTTCTCACACAGTGTCTACTACTGACTGCCACATAAACATTAATTTAAATTTTCCTCCTTTGCCAGGGATGGTGAACATACAATGCCTATAATCTCTCCACTCTAGGAGAATAAGGTAAGAGGACTGCAAATTCAAGCCCAGCCCAAGAAACTGAGCACTTAGACCCTGACCCCAAAAAAGGGAAGAGGGAATAGCTCAGTGGAAAAACCACAGGTTCTAATCCCCGGTATGCAAAAATCTCTATTCTCCCTGCTTCATTCAGTTTCCTCCATCATCTTGAAATGAACATTTACTTTTCTCTTTATGCCACTGAGCATAAGATTGCCTTTGGCTAAAAAGGCCCTTTATTCTCCTTCAAGAACATAGCAGGCCCCACAGAACCTTAAAGCTTTACTCAACTTCTACAACTGCTGTATGAATTTACTCTTACAAGATCTTAATCTAACTACTGCACAGTAAGTATAGAGACATAAATGACAATTATAGTAACTTAGACCAAGAAAACAAAACATTGAGGTAGCAGAAAACATTTGCAACACAACTTTCTGAAATATTTACCCCAGCCACTACAAACATTTTAGACAACACTTCCCTCCCTCATCAGTACTCAATGAGTTCATACCCCTGAACAACTTACTAATACTAAAATGTTACTGAGCTCCGTAAAGCAAGAAAAATAGATCACTGAAATTATGTGACAGAAAAGATAAAGTGTGAAAGCATTAGGCTCTATATCCTGAGGCAGGCAACTTAATATTAATCTACTTTATTTTTTGTGCTTCTATATTCATGATTTTATTCCAAAAAAGATTCTAATCTTAAAAAGTAAGTCAAACTGCTTATTTCCATGCATTTTTTTCCTTAAGAAACTTAGCAATTTACCTGGGATTGACTTCAAGATGGTAATTACTTGCAATAGTGCTGATTTCAATTTTTTTTTTGGATGGAGTCTGTGGACCAAAAATAATAAGCAGTCAATTCGCATCTTTATATTTTCATTTGTTCTTACTTTGTTATATAAACTGAAACATGAAAAGTATAAAAAAAAAAAAAAAAACCTTGAGATACCATAAATACAACTCCATTAACTGATCTTTCTTTTTCCAATACTGAGGATTATAAAAAGAATACTGAACCAAACTACATATCCAAATCTATTTATTTATTTATGCTACTGGGAATTGAACCCAGGGCCCTCGTACTAAGCCACAATTCCATTTCCCTCCTTTTCAATTTTTTTTTTTTTCTTTGAGAGAGAGGGTCCCATTAAGTTCCTAAATTGCTCAGTCTGGGCTTGCCTCAGCCTCCCAGGATACAGGGATTACTAATTTTTTATTATGAGACAGAGTTTTATTGTACTAGTGTTCTCAAACTTGTGATCCCACTGTCTCCCCCTCCCAGGTAGCTGGGATGACATGCAAGCACCAAAATGTCTGGCACCCCATTGTTAATGTGTTTATAATACGTAAGTTGAGTCCTATCATGCATTGTTATTTTTTTCTTTTTATCTCCAAAATTCCCCCCAAAATCCTCAATTATCACCAAAATCACCATTATAAACAATGTGCATATACCCTTTTACAGTCTTTTTTATACTAACACAAGAATGAAGCATACTGTCAGTGTTTCCTGTAAAATAAAAATAAAACAAAAGAGAAAAGCACACACACACACATCCGTGTTTTGCTTTTCCTAATTAACCATCTATCTTGGCAATCCCTCTCAGACAACTAATACAATGTTACAGATGTGCACCACCCATATTGTGGATGTTCCAAATTAGTTGCACTGATAGGATTTTTTCTGCTTCTTGCCTATGTATGTATATGTATAAAACGACCTGTTTTGAAAAAAGTTCCAACAATTCACTCTGCACTGACAAAAAATACTCTTCCTCAAACTACCCTATTGATAGTTTTTATTATGACTCAACTTTTGCCAATTTAACTATATAAGAACTCACACTACTGGACTACCCTAAAGGTCAAACATTTTTACAGGTGTTTAATAGCCACTTACATTACTCTATGAACATTTTCTATTTCATTCTATATTGTTTTGCTGTTGTCAATTTTTAGAAATCAGTATCAATATGTTTCTTTCAAATATTTTGACATTCCTTTATCTATTGATTTTAGGTTTATTTTGGTGGTACCAGGGATCGAACTCAGGACCTTCAGCTTGTCAGGCAAGCACTTATTCCACTAAGCTATCTCCCCAGCCCTGATTTTAGGTTTATCTGTCATATAACTTAAAATTCACACATATCCAAATATCTCTTTAGTTTCTTTTCATTTGTGTATCTTCTATTAAAAGATTTTTCTTGAAACACAGGCAGTTCATACAGTCTATGATATTCTAAGATATTCAATGTTTCATTTTAACACTTAAGTCTTTTATTCACCTAGAATTTATCTTTATACACTGTATTTCATACAGATTAAATTTGTTTTCCTCTCAAGAGATGATCAATTATGCTGGTACATTTTGTTAGCTCATCCTTTTCCACTGATTTGAAATAGATGCTCTGGTCAGAGTTTTAAGCACTTCTTTGATTAACTGGTCAAATTCTGTATTCCCATACTAATGCACTGTTTTAGTGTTAATGTATGACTTCATATCCTATAACATGAGCCCCAATTCACTGGTATTTCTCATAATTACTTGAGGTAGTGTCAGAAATGTATTATCCCGCATAGACTCTAGGGCCATTTCATATAATTAAAAAAGAATTGTTACGGGAATTTCACTGCAATTTGGGGAAACCAGACACTTTTAAAGAGCAATCCTCTCATTTGAGAACACATTATATCTTGACATTTGATCTGCTTTGTATTTCGTCTTTCTGTAAGATATTACAGTTTTTTGCCTATAAACCCTGTGTTTTTCTTCTTTAATATGGCCCTATATAATGTAAGAATCTCTACTATAGATTTAGACTTGTAAATTGAATGTGTCTACACATAAACTAATCGAGGTTAGCCTAACTCACTTAACCTCCCAAAGAATCTATTAATACCAGTACAATCCATACTCAGTATTCATTTTTTCCCCAATATACATGTTTAAAAGACATTTTATCAGGGGCTATGAAAGGTGTAAAAACAAGTATAATACATTTCCTACATAATTTTAAAACAAAAGTTTGTCAAAATAAAAGATGCACAAACAAGTATAATTCAGATCCAGTCCTGGTCCAGGCCCATGGAATATTATTCTCATGTACTTACCCAGTCCCCTGCCAAAAGCCCACTAAAATGAGAGCAAAGAGGGAGAAAAAGTACAAACCTCAGGAGCAAAGAGAACCAGAGAGAGAGAGAGAGAGAGAGAGAGAGACAGACAGAGACAGAGACAGAGACAGAGACAGAGACAGAGACAGAGACAGAGACAGAGCGGGGAGAGATCACCCTCCTTCCTGAAGAGACTTCCCAGTTTCTGGCAGTTGGAAGCGGATGGAAAGGTCCCTGATGGGATGAAGAGGAATCAGCTGCCAGGTGTCAGCTGTGCATGAGGTGGCCCAGAAGAGGACACTTTGATCTTCAGAAAGTACAGAGGCTCCAAAGTTGGTGACCCCAAGTAAGGGTTTGGGGTGCCAGGTGGACGGATGGAAGGTCTGGGAGTGTACTAGAGGCCTGCTGACCAGCATCCTCCCCGCAGCCAGATTCCTGCTGGAGGCAGCGCAGCGGCTCCTGCCCAGCCCATGCCTTCTCTTGCTACTTCAACCTTCTGCTGAAATGGGCGTTCTCACTAGCAGACTCCTATTCATCCACTGAGTCTTGGGTGGAAAAGTGGCTACTCTAGGAAGTCCACCTCCCTCCTCTAGAGTCCTGTGGTCCTCAGTACCTAACCCCATCCTTCTGTGACATGTCATTTTAAAGATTGTTCTGGAAAAGCAACAGAGACAAAGAGAAAGAAGCAAAGAATGGTCCACACAAGGCTGACCTTAAATGGAAGATGATATTTAACAGTAATGCATCCTCAAACCCCTGGCACATAGAAGGGAAAATATCCATGTATTTAGAAGGAAATTCCATTGTTATTGGGCTAAATGCAAGGGTCTCAATATTGTACTTGAGTCATATATTCCTTTTTCATTAAAGTCACACTGTGGTTTGAGCTAAGAGAATGAATTTTTAATGTCTCTAGGAAGTATATAAACTTTGGAGAGCAGCTCAAAGCATCCTGAACCAGAAGTTTTTCGAAGGGAGTCGGTGTCTTAACTATTAAAGCTAAGTGTATAAGAAAAAAAAAAAAAGTATAATTCAACCAAAACAAAGTAAATATACCTTGTGTAAGAACCCGGAAGAGTAGGTAGGAACTGAAAGGTACAATGGATACTGGGAAAGGGGAAAAAATTGTGCCATGGGAAGGAACAACTGGGATGAGGGAAAGGAGGAAAAAAGGAGAAAAGGAGGAAAGAAAGGAAGAAGGCAAGTAGGCAGGCAGGCATATATGTACACATAGGACAGCTTGGATAATTGGACTGCTGATTTCTGCTGGTATATTGAAGGAAGCAGTTAATGCTTAAATGTTTTTCTCCTTTTTAATTTTTTACAACTTTTTCTGGACTAGTTTTGCCTGCTTATATCTGGTAATCTGAACAAATAATTTGAAGACATTATGAAAGATAACAACCACTGTTCAATGTCTATTATCTTGTTTACTGAAAGTCTGTATAATTTCTAACAGCTTTTTTTCTTTACTATTTTTTATTCTTTTAAAAAATAAAACGTGCAAAGTACAGGTTACAGAAGAAAGACTGATTCTCAAGAACCGGGGATGCTCTTTAGAAAGGAGACATTTCAGCTGGATCTGAAACACCATCTGAAGGGAAAGTGTAGGCCTCACACCAGAAGCTTGGCGAGGGCATGGTCACAGGAAGCCTCTCAGTGGCCCAGACTTTCCCAGTCATTCACTCTATCTTTAGGAGCCACTTGACTCTGTTCAGTTTTTTCAAAAACAAGTTTTTTTTCCTTTTGTTAAAAATCTCAGTGATGTTCTCAGAACAGTGAACTTCAGAAGTCTGATTTCCAACTCCAGCTCATCTCACAGAAGCAACTTGAAACATCTTTTAAATTCTACACAATAACCAAAAGCTGCTACTGCTCAGCCTTCCTAACCTAGAGCCGTAGGTCTATTTACAATAGTTAGATCTCCAAACCTGCAGCTCTCAGTACTGCACACTAGGATCATCTGTGACACCGTTACTTAAACTCAGCAACTGGAGCAAGTGCCAGAGCATATAAACGAAGGGACTGTAAGTAAAATGCTTACTGTGATGGTCTGATGTTCAATCCTCAGTTTTTCTACACCAACACCATAAAGTTCACGTAGAATACACATAATTCTTGTCTTCTTTCCAGCACCTGATGGCCCATATACTAACAGGTGAGGGAAGTCACCACACTGCACCTAAAAAAAAAAACCAAGAGTTTTTTTCCTTAGTCAAACTAAACTATCTGTTCTAAGTAGAACCAAGTTAGTTACTCTTGTAAACTAACTCTGGAAGACTTATTTTAAATCAGCATACATGCAATATCAATTAACTAAAAAAAGAAAAATTTTAATTTTTCATAAACTCTTCTAAAGACCTTAATACATGTAAAATTGCTTTTTACCATTTTACAACTTTTTAAGAGCACTTAATGATAGCAACCATAATTCTGAAAAAGGTTAGTATCTGAAGATCAAGTGCTGAGCAAAAAAACGTTTTCATCAGCATTATATTTTCATCTTTGGTTTGTAATAACTTATTTTAAGATCAGTTTTTCCTGTCCACTCTCTATACGATTCAGTCGGATGTTTACTGAATGCCATTAGACATTTTTATCAAGCACACCATAAAAATAGACATCAAGTTGAAGGGGAAAAATCCTGCATATGGGCCTAAACTCAAAGACAACCCAAAACAACATAATGGAGAGTCAGAAACGACATTAGCTGTTAATAAAGCCAACATTTTCCTTGCAAATGAAGATAATGACAAGAAGAAACTTTAAGCCAGTTAAGGCAGTAGGCCAGGGCCACTGCTCCATCCACGTCCTGCAGCGGCTTCCCGTCCGCTCCGCAGGGGCCTACGGGGGCAACACCCCGCAGCTCTCCAACGCGCACGCCCGCCCCGCCTTCCTACTCGCTCGGGCCTGGCTCCCGGCTCCGCCGTGGACATCACCGAGGTAACCAGAAAGGGCGGGCTCACTCAGCCCCTGAAGCTTGCCCACTGTCCCTCTCCGGTCACTACCTGTCACTATGCCTTCCTCACTTCAAGCCTTGGCCCAGATCGCAGAAGGAAGCGTTGCTAGTTCAAAGTACAAGCCCGCACTTCACACGCTCCCGCCTTCCCAGTTGTATCCTCCTCCGCAACATTAACCCCCTTCTAAGACGCGCAGCGCTAGGCGCTCGGCCGTCCGGACGGGAAGCCCGAGCCAGGCGCTCCCTTCTCCGCGCTGTTGTTTTCCGGCCTAAACGCGGCCCACTCACCAGGTTGCGGAGCTGCGCTGCCTGCTCCTTGTGATAGTCCAGCCGTCCCAAAGTACAGGGCCGGTACTTATCCACCCAGAGACTCATGGCAGCGCAAGCCCCCTGGGTCCAGCGCTCAAAAGTTCAGCGCGCGCGCCCTTGGCGGGGAAGCCGAGACAAGTTTTCCCGCTAACTCCAGGTCTCGTGACGTCACTACCGGCCGCGGCTGCGTAAACGAATTGGTGACGAAAAAAAAAATGACGGAAGCCCCCTAGGGTCGAAATTAATCGCCACGCCGGCGCTATGTCGTTGCTAGGCAGAATTTATTTATTTATTTTTTGGCAGAACTGGAGATTGAACTCAGGCCCTTGCGCTTGCCAGGAAAGCGCTTATTCTGCTGAGCCATCTTCCCGGCCCCAGCGCTATGTAGTTGTAATGTTCGTTTTTGTCTTGTTTTGTTTTAATCCTGTTCTTTGTTCTCATTTTGTGTGCTGTTTTAGAATTTAATGCCGAGAATGAAGACTATGTCTCACATACTGTAGGTCTCAAATCTGGGAATCTCAGAGAAGGCATTTCCTCTACTCATTTGTTCATTGATGTAGTATAATTGAATTTTTTTTTTATTTCAGAGAAATTTAATAAATAGGTACAGTGCTACCTGTCGAGGCTTATTGTTCGAACTAGAATATATCCACCTGAAGGTTTCTCTTACTTGGCAGACACCTAGTCGTTTTCTTGAATAAACTGCTTCATAAATAGGATATAATCCTTATTTTCTTACCTCCATTACTTAAGATGCTTAATGGGTTGCAGACCAAATCAAATGAGCATTTTGAAAGTGTTATAGAAATGTGCCCAGCAGGGGAGGAGGCACGCAGATAATTTGCAGTTTTAAGTACCGAATGTTTGAAACCTATTTTAATTAAAATGAGAAGAGTTCTTGAAACCCTCAGGAAAGTACTTGGAATCTCAAACCCACATAAAACTAGAGTCATGACCTTAAAACTGCATTTCTCAAGATGCACTCTTCTAGTTGTATATAATATCACTTATTTATGTATTTTGTATTTATATATTTTTATTTTATGTATTTAGAGTCCTAAATTCTATCATTTGATGGGTAGGTCTTACAAGATTAATTTCCAGTGATAGCCCTCCAGCAAAGTACTCTATCTCTTCTGTTTATTAAAGAGAAAATGATTGTGCTGTTCTATTTCTCATCATATTAAATCAGTTACTCTAGCAGGCAAGATATTATTAGGCACAATTGATAGCCATCAAATATAAAATATGACCCCTAAAAAAATATGACCCCTATTCCTAAGAAACTTTGTAAAACAAATTTAAGGATGTTTACACTTGCTAGTTCTTCCTCCTGGCAATTTTTATGCAATGTAGAACTGAACTCCTGATTTCCTCTCCTTGTTGCTGTACCTAGACCTACTCAATGAGGACTCCCTAGCCACCACCCTATTTAACGCTGCAGGAAAAGTCCACATTTTCCAAGATTCTCTCCTACTAAACTGGAGTGAAAAAAATGTTTGAAGTGGAAAGTAAAAGAAAATCAGAAGCAAAAGCATTGAAATGTGGTCTCTGTAAATATTAATTATGAAGAACGATATGCAGGCTCAGCCTCAACAACAATTTTTTTTTTTTTTTTTTTTTTCTGCACCTAGGATTAAACTCAGGAACTTGCAGCTGCCAGGCAAGCACTATGTTGCTGAGCCACATCCCAAGCCCTTGAGACTTGATAGATTCAGGAGAAAGATTTTACTCTAGACTGGATCCAATTATAAGGAGCAAACTTCATGGCAACCAAGAGACCAATTAAGAGCAAAGAGGTAATACAATTTCCCATTTATTTTCTACTCAGAGTAATACCTTAATATATTTATGACTTTGTCTTCACCCCCCCATTTTTAAGTTTTTTTCTGTTTTCATATATATGTACAGATTCTGTTAAATGCCCATTTTATTTTGGAGGTTAATCCAGAACAATTTGCTGATTTACCTCCTCTATTTCAAACAAAGTGTTCTGGCCATGTTTTCTTATAATTTATTCAAAAGTTGGTAGTGATAGCATCCAATCATGATTTCATTCCTTTATCTGAGGAAGGACAAATGGGTAGATTCCTCTCTACACTCATGGAAACCAACAAAGTAAGAACCAGAAGTCATCAGAACATTGAAAATATTTAGCAAATTAATTTAAGAAACAAAAATATGTTTTTCGCCATAAGTTCTAATTTATTTTTTACCATCCATGTGAAAGTGAAGTCTGTAGATAATTGTACAGTGTATTTAAGGGGAAAAAACATAAAATCTTTTAGCTTTGCATCTTGGTGATAACCACCATCTTGTCCAGCAGATGATCCTGGCTTGCATTCCAAACCTGGCCCCATGAAGTCCTGAAGATGGCAGTCAGCTGAGCACCTCGTGCCAGGCACTAATGATTCCTGGACTATTTCTTGTCTGACCTCCGATGTGTTCTTGAGAAAGCCCGCATACGTACCTTTGTCTAGCTTAGCATATAAGCCCCTTCCTCTTATCTCTAATCGAGGAATCCTGTGTTGCTGCTGGCCAAGATGGGCTTCTATCCCTTCTGTTCATTAAGTTCTTACTAAATTGGATTATTTGTTTAAAAACTAAGAAAAAATTTAAGAAAGAATTTTGAGCAGAGATTTCTCATAGGAACTTTTTATAGTATCACATTTAATTTGTTGTAGTAGTGTGAATTTACCTTTATAAATTAACCAAGAATAGCTTATATTCAAATAACTTGAAAACAAGGACTGGGAAGATAGCTCAGGAGTAAATGCCTCCTGCCTGGCAAGCACAAGGTCCCAAGTTTTAATCCTCAGTACTAAAATAATAATAATAATAATAATAATAAAATAACCAAGAACAACAAACTTGAAAACAATAGTTTAATACTTACAAAAGAGGGTAGAAATGTAAAAATCATGTTAGTCTGTGGCACAAGAAGGTCTATTTACTAAATCTCTTCCCTACACCTGTGTATTTTTGCCAGCTTCTGTGATTTACTGGAATCATATGATCAATAAAATCGTATAGCTGAGCTCTGGATATTGGAATATAAATGACGGTGATAAATGGCAGGTTTCTATACTCATCCCTTAAAAATCTCCTGTGTGCTCCAACACACCCTCTTTTCTTATTGGTCAGCTTAATGTGGAGAATCTGGTGGAGGAATCTGAAAGTCCAGACAACACCTGAGGAGCTAAGAAGAAAGTCAGATTCCTGTGTATTGAACTGTATTCCACTAGCAGATAGTTTCTACAGCAGATGTTTGATAGATGTGCAGTGAGGGAGTAAGGAAAGAGACAGTAGGGTTAACAGCCTGTGCAAGGATTTCTATTAATCAGGATATTGTCTGTAAGCAACTTGCACTTTTTATTAGTTTGTGATTCATAAAAAATAAATTCATTGTGGGGAATTGGTTTGTGTACATATCACATCTTGATCCTTTTAATTCCCTTTTATCTCCCTTGCATTTTCTCTCCTTCCATCTATGCATCCCTTCCCCATATGAAAAATGAGTACCTACATGCTTCATATTATCTAATTTTCATTCTTCTCTTTAAGTTACTTATACTTCAAGTTTCTTATATGCAAGAAAACATGCAGCTTAACATTTGTTTCTGGTTTATTTCATTTAGCATTCTAGTCTCAGTGTATATCCATTTTCTTACAGATGACTCAAATTATCCTTCTTTATGACCGAGATAGATAGATAGATAGATAGATAGATAGATAGATAGATAGATAGATAATATTCTTTATCCATGCATCCTTTGATGGGCAAACAGGCTGTTTCCAAGATTTAGCTATCTTTGTCATAGTGCTGTAAGCATGAGTATACATATTTCACCATAATATGATGGCTTTAAATTTTGTAACTGCAATCTGAGCAACTACGTAGAGGACAGCAATGTGGAATACAAAACCCATGGTTGAATGCCTCATTTTGGTCTTCTAACTTACTGTTCCTAATGTCTTATCAATTATTATACTCTCTTTAAAATAAATTAAAACCAAAAAAGACAAGGAAGGGCCGGCTAAATAGCTCAGCGGATTAAAGTGCCTGCCAGCAGGCACAGAGGCCAGCGGTTTGATCCCTGGGGCCTGCTGTGCTGGCCCCACCCCCGGGGCCTGCTGAGATGACAATTAAGACTGGATGTGGTGGTGCATGTCTGTAATCCCAGCTCTTGGGAGGATGTAAA